TTGAGGAAGGACCATAAAACTTCATAAGAATAGAAGCGACAGAGGATTTGGGTGTCTGAATTTATTCAAACGTTTTGCAGCGGGCGAACGGTATCTTCGAGTGAAGTGTAGTACCCAAACCTGCGGGAAGCAAATTAATTCGGAGCTTGCTTTCCATACGGTACCAATACTTTAAGAGAAATTCACAAATTTTCAACCGAGGCAGACGGCACAATATGGTGTCTACTGCTTCGAATTTCTTGTACAAATTCAACTGACTGAACTGGCCACCTGCGTAACACGGTCCTCTGGGAATTACTAGAGAATTACGTGCTGGCCATCAGACTGGGCATGGTTTTCGTGGTACCGTAATCGCGGTGGTCTACTTCTTTTCGTGGACGGCCCCGTACATGAGCATCTCGGATGAGCCGTTTAATATTGTCATTGAAGTTAGAATATTCTTGGGTCCATCGTGAGTTCACAGTGGTTAATTGCTGTCATTTAAATGAGGCAATTAACCAGCGATATCTGCTCCGGAGATTGAAAGTAGGAAAGTGTCCGAAATGTTTGTTAGTTAGCACTTTCGTTTGAGTTAGAATGTCTCCCGAAATAACAGACCGTCAAGAGCTCCTCCAGTAAGGTGACGCTCGTTGATTTCAAAAACGGTGATCGATATTCACGTGCAGATAATGGGTATGCGGTTTTTACGAACTGGTGAGGACATCCGAGTATGAGGGAAGTGCATCGGCTAGATTGTGCGCAACTAAAGTAGCTTGGAATTTGCGGAGACATGAGATCAAATATATCTGGTGTTGCTGCTTGCTCGCACGATAAGCTGACCTCAGAATGGAGCTTTTACAGCTGAAAGAAAAGCGTGGAGCTTTGTAAAACTAGTTGCATATAAGGCGTTACATCACGTGTATTCGATGAGTCTCGTAGCATCTTACCCTATTCTATCAATGGATGTTTCGGTACATGGCTTGATTGCTCGGGATGTGTGCCACAACCAGGGCAAGCTAAGACCGAAAACAGTTTTCGCCTCTTTCATTGCAGAAGGCGGATTAACAGGTTTTTCGTGCAAAAGGGGTGTATTTTTGGAGAGGGCATGCAGTTGAAATGAGAGTTGTCAACCATGCAATCTTTTGCATTGTCGGGGACAGTAGGTGCGGCAGGGGCGGACATGTTACCAAAATATATAGGGAGCTCCAAAAGCTTCCGTACACGAAGCGGTGTTCGTCGAGAGCTCTCCAGCTCCATTCCCACTTAATTTCGTAATCGACGAGACAATGGGGTGAACGCTGAAATAACTTCTTTGCCCGGTTTTCAGATATCTTCTGGTAAAAATCTTGTCGATCTGGATAATGCAGACGTCGAGGTTGTATTCGTTTTGATTGTGGTGTACCAGATGAGGTCAATGCCCACGTATGGCGTCAAGGTGGCGTATGTGAATACCAAGTGACGTGTGTATCGGGCTGCAGCACGGGCTTTTCTGTTGTATGGCTGTGAGACCTGGCCAGTTTGAGAAGCGAGACCAAGGCTTTTGCAGGTGTTTTTCTACGGCTGTCACAAAACCATAGTTCGTGTGGGACAGTGACGGCAAATCCGTTAGACGACATTCAAACAGCGATTTTTCGGTTGTGCATTAGCTCGACATAAACTATGAGATGTTGAGGCCCAGAGGCGTGCCCCTTTACGGTTAGATTGCTGATGTGGTTGAGCATGTGGCGGTTACGAGTTTCGATGAGGAAAACCGAGGTGTTGCATTTTATTAGGGTACATTGTATCGGTATCAGGGAGCATAAATCAAGCAAAGTTGGGATTTAGTGCTCCAAACTAGTGAATTGGACACCAAACACCCATTCGCTCACAAGATCTTCGCTACGTCTGCATCCATGGATGCACGTTCGAGGACGCGTGTGGCCGTTGGATTGTAGGGCTCAAGTCTGTACCACTTGGTCTTACGATCGAAAAGTAAGCATCCCTTTTTGGCTTTAAATTTGCCGCACCCCATAATACATATGTTTGCTGAATCCCGCCATCGAATCATCGATGTACACAGGGCTCCTTCGTTATCGCCTATTGGACTAATCCAGGAGGTAGTAATTTCACCTTTATAATAGTAAGTCACCGGGTTAAGCGCGGACACTTAGCGGTAGTCTTAGACATGTGGAGCTAGTCACTGCAACTCTGTTTTATTATTTCTTTTAAATGATATCGCGGTAAATGTGCATCGTTGTAGTTGACTATACATTTTTTTCAGAAATCCTGTTGAGTGAAAAGTTGAGAAGTGGATTGACCAAACAATATATTTGTACCGAAACCAATAAAAGAAACATGATTCGTTAAAGATGATTGTGTATCCTTCAGGCATGGGTTAGGCAGGTGGACCATGGATATGGGGGACAGACGTTGGTCGTTGGATTAGTCCACTGTGTGTAGTTGAAAAATTATAGTCAGCCACGAGCATGTGCACGGGCCCAGCAGGTGCTATAAGTAGCCTCGATAGGTGGCACCTAGTGTAGTTTTGAGTATGACGGACTGTCGTTGGCCATTAGTCGTTGGCCATTAGATTATGATATCACGCATTGCTGAAGCCTCGTTTTTATCAGCCCGCATAGATGCTGGCCTGATGTTCTCTATAGATAATAGACATAGGCAAAAGCACGCACAGTTATGGATATGACAGGTAATCGCTGGCAGTTAACTTAGGACACTGCGCACAGTTGTAGCCTAATGATTAGCGTCGCCAATAGGCACTAGCCCAGCAGTTTCAAAAATTAGTCACGGTTGTGAGTATGAGGTACGTCGTTTGCCACCAGATTAGGCATGCATGCATAGGTTGGGCTTCGTGCTCATCGGTTCGCATAAATCCTGGCCCGTTGTTTATCATAAGTAGCAAAGATAAGTAACAACGCGTACGTCCACGAGAACGACATATTAGGTTGGATTAGGTTACCGGCTAAGCAACGCCGCACATGGACACGGACCTATGGGGAACGATAGATAGACAAGTAAGGCGACATTGAGTACCGCACTGAGTATGACAGTTCATCAGATTAGGCTATCTCTCGCACAGTCGACGCTTCATCTTTACCGGCCATCATAAATACTGGCATGGTATTCACTAAGGTAGCATAGGTAGGCGGCATCACATATGGTTATGTGTATGAAGGAACGTCGTTAGCTACGGGATTATGTTACTGAGCACATTTTCACGGATTCACGGAGTGATACACAATATCGAGGCTTTTACCCAAGTTTCCAAGGCCGCTTTTGTTCTTGCCGGTCAGTGGCTGTCGTTCACCTGAAAGGCACAAGTGAAAAAAGGGTGTAGCACTGCTCTTTATGTTCTCAGCGTGGGAGAGTATGCTTACCAGCGCGAGGATTTGCATAAAGAAATGTCTGATAGTTCTTTAAACTGGGTTCTAGAAGGAACGTGAACGACCGTTGAAGGAAGGTCATTCCTCGCACCCACTACCCGAAATGAGAAAAATTTTGTGCGCTCTGAGTTTAAAAATCATCTTAATATGTCCCCACCGTGTGTTTGCTGGGTGAAGGGTTAAAAACCTGTTCGCCAAGCTTTGTTCAAACAGGGAATAACTAGGGATTAGGTCCCCTCGGAGGCAACGGTACTCCGGGGGAAAAAGATCAAGCATCGCGAGACGCGTTTTTTAGTCCACGGATGTGAGGCCGGTTGGCTGGACACGCTCAATGAAGGTACGCCCTGAGTTAAAAAATTGGTTGGTGCGTTCCAGAAGTGGTCCGACGCAGGCCGTGTAGAATATTTGGAAGTCCATGGGAGTAATACGGGAGAAGGTGCGTCGGATCATCCGTAAAATGGCGAATGCCTTTCGGGCCGACCTCACATGGTGCAGTGATAAGGACAAGTTTGAGGAGACCCAGATGCCCAAATCCTCATTGTCATCTATAATAATAATAATAATGTTTATTCCCAACTTGTGAGTGGCATACCGTTTGGCATGATCATAGTTTTACAGTCAGAATGAAGCATGACAGGGATTTGTGGGGGTGCGGATTGCACAAAAAGAGGACAATGTCACAAACAGTGGGGAACACCCGGTGGTATAGCAATAATAGGTTATTTCCCAACTTTTTGGGAAAAATGGGCATGAGGTTCGACCAGATCAAAGACAGTCAGGAGGCATGAACTAAAACTGAAAACCGTTGCTGGCCATGAGTGACCTTAGGTGGTCAGGTAAATGGCCGGAGTCACAACGAGCAAAAGTGGAGATGGAGATGGGATAATTCAAATTGGGACCACATGACAAATTTTGTCCCAAAAATGTGGTTTAATCTGAAAGCAAGCAGACTCACTGGTTGCACTGTTGTAGGCATATCAGGTGCAGGGAATAGGTTGGATGGGGACAAGTTGCTAATACATAGGGCGACCCGAACTCCGTATACGGATTTGAACTTTTGCAACAGGCAAGTCGAAATTGCAGCAGGAAAGCCAGGCTAGCCAAATCTGAGCGAAAATTTATTGGGTACGGAAGAGCTCATCCCCGAAACGTGGCCGGATGGGAACTGCTCGAAGTTGTGGCTACAGGCATGAGCGGGCGAGGGGTTGCGGTCGAGATTCTGGAGAGAATAGTTGCGGGAGTGCCATCTCACTGGGTATGACAGTGCCATGCCATCATCGCACTGACATGCTTCGGTTTATGGACAACCCCGTACCGGTCGTCAAGGGTCGGAGAAAGGATACGCAGTTCCGTGGTGAGACGGAGATTGTTAAATGACCGTGTTAGTGTAGAACGGGCACCAGCCGGTTTGAGTGAATAACAGTTCTAATGGGCGTTTGGGCAACTGCGGTCGAGGATTGAAGCATGCACTGATATACACGGCAGAGAACCGTATAGTTACCCTCAAGATGTTCTCTGGTCCTTTCTCACGATCCATAACAGAAAAATTTGCTGTCCCCTCCAAATGACATATGGACGCCGTTTTCATCATTCAGAGGAAGGTGCCAGTCCAACGACGACTGCTTGGTAGCGTCTACATCCATTTGGAGGGCACTGGAATTGGAACCCCCGGATTCCAAGTCGTCCACAAAATGAAGACATGGTCCTGCAAGAACATCTGGAAGGGCACTGACGTAGATCAGAAACAGCAGTGGTCCTTGGACGGGGCCTTTAGGAACTCCAATAGAGACCGGCGCTGGAGAAGAGTGAGTCGTGCCTATTCTCACTCGAAACGATCTGTCCGATAGGGACTCCTTGATCCAATGAAGGATGAAAGATGCGCATTCCTGAGAAGACTGCACGGCACAAGTCTCGAAACCAAGTTTGTGGTTCGGGCTTTCTGACCCAGTAGCAGATGAAATCAAAGGTCAGCACACAGTGGTCGCCATGTTCCAGTGAAGCGTTAATTGTTACCTGATCAACGAAGTGTCTTTCGTCGGTGACGACCAAATCCAGGAGGGATGATAGTTGGCCTGCGCGTTACCTGGTGTGTGCAACGACATTTTGAGTCTAAGCGCTCTGTTGAACGACTTCGATCACTTCAGGTACCAAACTGCAAAAGTTCCGCTGGATTCGACGTGCCGAAGCTCCATCCAGGTCTTTGGAGGGCTGAAGTCGCCTACAAGCAGGTGAAGTGGTATTTGGAGGAGATTTGCTCAGGGGTTCGTATGAGGGATTAGCCATCTTCAAGTGGACTCAAGGGGCTACGGTCGGCCACACCGAGAAGGAGAGAATCGGACGCACGCAGCGGGATTTGGACCCACAGTGCATCGCGGGAAGGTGTAGGAAGGCTGCAGCCACGTTTATGGGTTGTCGGGGTCCTGAGCGATGGTTGTGTCCACAAAAAGAGAGGCCGATTTCGGCTTCGCTGCTTGTCCCCGTACATCTTACTCAGTCCAGTTCAGAGGCTGTGGCTTTGGTGAGGAGTACTTGGCTGCACTGTGTCGTCTGTTACGGAGACAAGCGCTGATAGCTCCACGTACTTTGGGCGCTGCTTGCATGTGAAGTTTGCCTCCTCCAAGGCATCACTGCTTTGGTGGGCGGAAGGCCTTTGGTGGTCGAATAAATACTGTTGTCCGGAGACGCGTCCGGTTTCGTCGGCCTGCTTTTGAGAGCACAAGTGCTGTGACAACAATCGGCCTGGCTATGAGTTTGGGATCGGTTGAAACGGCTTCCAGCGGGAGCCTGGTTCGTGCCTCTACCCCGGATCTGCTGAATAGTGACCAGAAGCCCAAGAGTTTGCTTGCCTCCGCTCTGGCGTAAGAATTCTTCGTGGAGCGATTGGTCAGGTTTGGTGTGGACACCGCTAAGGATCGATCGTGCGAGCTTCACTGGCGTGATTTTTCCGAAGAAAACCCCCCAGGTTATCAATCTGTTCTTCGTTAAGCGCCCGTCTACTAGAGAGGCTGTGGCGGTCATTATGGCCGCTTCAGAAAGTTGTATGAGTTTCTTCGCAGCCAGGGGACCCTGTATGGATAGCGCGAGGTACTCGTTCAGCGCAGAAGGATCTTTATTAATTTTCGTCCAAGTCGCTGCATTCTTTATATCTGAATCCTCCAGCGCCTCGGAAAGACGCCCAATTTCGGGTCGAGTTTCCCGATCAAAGCGGAACACTCACATCGATCTTTCTGATTCTGCAGTGGGGATTGAGTACCGTTTTTGAGGTCTCGCCTCTTGACTGTGGTATGCGTTGCACCATTAACCTTAAGGCAGCTGGCGCAGATAGACGGTCAGGAGAGTTAGATACTCGGCTTATCTGGTCGTCCTGTAAACCCGCGAATTTGAAGTGCCACCAAACTTTGCAGGTGTGGCATTGCATACCGCGCTTTACGTTCGACGGCCAGCCATTTCGCCCACATCTGTAGTGGCCTATCACTGGCTGCAGAGGGCAATCGGTATGAATTGATGGATGTCAGTGATCTATCACTGGCTGCAGAGGGCAATCGGTATGAATTGATGTCGTGTTTGAAACTAGATGCAAAATAGGAAATGTGCGCAAAATAACAAGGGTTATCGCTCAAATGTTTCGTTAGAGTGATAAAATTCAACGGTGACTCGTGCTTACTCTGTGAATAGATTGAACAACGAAAAAATTCTCTCACAAATTTGCTCCAGGGAAAAACGAAACCAACTTCGAACTTACCGCGGGAAGTCCCCATATATGAGGTCCCGTAATCAGCGTCACAAATGGACGCGGTCCTGGCAGTCACAATAAGTATTCGACAACCCGTACAGTTATGATTGTAAGAGGCCGTCGGAAGTCACTTTGTTACGCTACAGTACACGGGCGAGGCATTATAATCGGCGTCGTACATAGACACGGATTCAGCAGTTGCGATAAGTGGTCGAGGTGAGTGACAAGACTACTGTTATCATGGCGACCACTTTGTGGCGGTCACCGCCTGTATAGTGCTATATTCATAAAGAAAATGATCCCTGCAGCTATCTTGTGACGCTATATTGTCTACAGGCAAGTTATGCATGTCTGGGAAAGGGGATCATCCACAGAGGTGACCCCCGTATCAGCTCTGCACAGCTCACGCTGTTGTCTAAAAATGTACTTAATAGAAGTTGAGATCCATGGGAAAATGTGTTGTGACCAGGTTCGCCGAACAAAATTATCCCGTTTATTAAATCTGAGGAGCGCAAAGCGAACTTCGCTGACCAATCTTCCGGAGTGAAATTCGCATGAGATATTCTTTAGATGTTTTCTGTTCCTAATGAACACCGAAGAACGCCAAAAGGCGCTCACCAGGTATAGAGCGTCATATTCATAATAGGCATATTACCTGCAGATACCTCGTCACGCTTTATCACCTACAGGCTAGTTATGCATACCCGGGAACGTGGTAGGTACACTGCCAGCCAAACACTCCACGTTGATTCAGCGGACGCCGCGATTCTTGTATTCTTCCGATGCTCAGCTCCATTTTGAGGCACCTCGTCAGCCGCCCGCACTACTGGTCCAAGTCCACTCCCACCACAAGCGCCGGCTTTGATGGAGTGCAAGCCAAACCTCGTCCCCCCAGTAATCATACCTTTCCAATATCCCTCCTGAGAACGCCGCCCGCCGTTCTAACATGCGGGGCTCTCGTTAAGTGTCTTGAGTTCAGCTCAGATGGTTGTCGAGGTCAACCATCTACTACACCTAAAAATCACTCTTCACGAAGCACATCTCCACCAGAGGTTGGAGTCATTTTTCTCACCCTGTCCGCTTTCATCAATAGATATTGGTTTTAACTTAGTGACCAAGCCATGACCTTCTGTAGCTTCACCCAACAGGAAAGCCGGGTTATTAGTAGGCATATACCATCATTTCGTTCGCGTTTGTGGACATGTACCATAAAGCCCTTCACCTCGGGTGGCCTAAATCGAGGTTATGTAGGTCAATTACTCTCCCGCTGGAGCAAGAATCTTGGCCCTGTTAGCCACCCGAAAGACAATATCGATTTGGTTGTCCTCCGACTTTACGTGCCTCCGTTGGGTGGGCGAGTGCGCATCACGAACAATTGTCAGTCTATTTACGACAAAGATACAAAATCCGGGAGATATGTTATGGACACTGTACAGAGCTATCACGGAGTCTGTCCAAAACACAGTACGCTGTATGTGGCTCTTTCCACTTATTCCAATTAGATGTGCTACCTGGATCGCCAAACGCGCAGCTGTAAGCTCCAGCCATGGTATTGAAACGGGCTTAAGAGGGGTCACTCGCACCGCACCACACTAGTCTCCATTGTCAATAATGCCTTCTGGAACTCTAAGGCGAGACTAGTGTTGTATGCTGAAGTGTCTGCAAATTCCGCATTTTGGAGTCGCCGCAAAGAATCGTGGAGGCCCTGACTGTATCCGGCCACACAACAGCAGACAACCTTCTGCCTCGTCCCAATTCCAATCGGACCAAGAAGTATCCAACCAAGTAGGGTGTTTACGGAAAATGTCTGTTATTTACCTCCCAGGTGCCGATTGAATACCCAGTGCGCTTCGGATACATCGGGCCCGAGGAGGATTCCTAATTCGTCCTCAGCCAATCTGTCAAAGGCGATTTAGTTATGGTGCGGCCACGGGCTAGGCACTTCGATAGATGGGACATCTCGCGTGGGTAGTTAAACAACAGCGAATGACCTTTCACTATCTCTCGAGTGATTTTCAGCCATTGATAAGGCCTGATATAATTGGATCCGGATTTGCCTACCTTGAATGGGGCATCTCGCGTGGGTAAGTAGTCAACAGCGAAGGGCCTGTCACTATCTCTCGAGTGATTTTCAGCAATTGATAAAGCCTAATATAATTGGATCCGGATTTGCCTACCTTGGTTCCACGCTTTTTAGGCCTCGCCATGGAGTTTGGCAGCAGTTCGACCCCATTTTTACCAGAATTTCCCGCTTCACAAATGTTATGTCGGACCCGGTATTTATAAACGTGCTCGTTGTCACTCTTCCTGCGTGCGTGTCAAGCTTAACAGGAATAGCTCCTAGGCGTGCTAGAGGCTTACCACTGCGAGTGAAATAACAAGATTTCTCTGCCTCCGAAGACGTCAACGCTTTGTCTCTGGGTTTTGATGCAAGCAACAACATATGATATCATCCCCTGCAACCCGACTGACCGCACTGAACAACTGGCGCGCAACCCTCAGGCATGAGGGCGTCTCCTAATCAGACAAGGCATGCATATGCTCTCGCATGCGACTCCACCTATCAGGAACTTCCTTAGATATACAGCGCTGGTGGCCATAAATCGGGTGGAGCTGCGAACACAATAGACAAGAACTTGGACCGCTGTCTGAACCTAGCCTTATTTTGGTTAGGGGGCTAGTGAAACCATCCCGCCTAGGACGTTGGTTGGTGAGTGTTGGCTAAACAAGAGGGCGTCTTACGTCATCTTCTTGAGCCAGTTGCCCAAACCGACTTTGCACAATCCTGAAGCGCATGTTCACAAACTTCGTCAAGTAAATGAACCTTGGGTCCCGGCCACTCATCGATGTCTCATCTGCCACCTCGACCCATTTGTGCTGCAATGGCGTGAAAAGAGAACGCACGATTCCCTCTACAACCGCAGGTGAATGCGGATCTGTAACCTAACGCATTTGCGTCTGCGTGGTTTCACAACTTTGCGTTTTTATGCACGAGTTGACAAAGACTTGGCCACTCCAGTTGTCTGTCGTGCCAGTCGGAACAAGCTTGAAAGTATATGGCGGGCAATATTATGAGACTGACCAAAAAATTGCGTTGAATCTCCCGAGCCATGGAGTATGCTACTTCCGGCAGAAGCATCAGACAGTCTTCAATGGCTGACTTCGCGTCACCTTGACAGTAGTGGATCAGGTACAGGAGCCTCTGACAGGCATCCTTAAGCTTGCTCCCAATATCTATCTCACATTGACGTATGAACCTCCGGTAATTAATTGGATCACCATCAAATTATGGTGGCTCCACATTTAGTAGGTCCATAGTGGCTGATACTAAGGCGATGGAAATGGCCTATCTTGACCCTGGAGATGATCCTCTGATATTATTAGCATATCATACAGATCTTTCATTTATCTGACGTGGTTTTACGTAGCGCATTAAGTTTTCATTTGAGGCTACGGGTTACCAAACGTCGTCTAGTGAGTCCTTTTCGGCCTTCAGCTCAATTTTGGCTTACTCGGTTTTGTTGCGCCCCCAAGAGAGCCCGCTAGAGTTCGAATTCTTGCTTAACCCGATACTCCCTGAGCTGAACAATTCCTAAAGCTTTCACAGCCACACTACTTTTACTACTGGATGCAAAAAGTGACTTACAATAACCGTGGCGGGCAGCGAGCTGCATTGAAATTGTTTCCATTTCAGCTCAAATCGGTTCCGCGTCCTTGTATCTGGTTTCCTTCCCGATGGTTACCAAAGTCGACATCTTTATTTCAAACGGGACGATGTAAGATCACGAGTACTGTTATAAGCGAACGGTATTTTCGAGTGACGCGTAATACTCAAACCTGCGGGAAGGCAAATAAATAGGGAGCTTGGTTTCTATACGGTACTAATAACGTAAGACAAATTCACAAATTATGTGAACCTCGACGGCAGATACTCGTTCCAAACAAATGGTGAACTTGGGTTACAAGGCTACAAACCAAGGGAGGAAACAGGCTCCCACGTGAGACGGTCACACGTACACAAAGTCGACCACCAATTGCTGGATCACCTCAAGGCCAAACGAGTAAAGGGGTAAGGACAGACAACACCAGTTCATATACGCGCACTGAACACAAAAGTGGGGCTGGGGCTACAAATGGGGACGAAATTAACGTAAGGAATTTCAATTGTCGACTTAATGGATGATATGCATATCCTTCACACTGCACCACGAAAAATCGGCCCCAAAAGATTTTCGCCTTTCCACGGATGATTCGGCGCACATTTTCTCGTATTACTAGCATGGATTTCCAAATACTCTATGGGACATACGTAAGATCGCTCCTTGAATACGCCAACCAAGCTGTCTACCCAGGGCACGCGGAAGTCACCACTCTCATTGAGTGTGTCGAGCGAGCCACTACGGGACTGGTTGCCGGCCTCAGATCCATCAACTACAAAATGCGTCTTGAAATGCTTGACCTTTTTCCCCTTGGACCTAATTCTTGCCTGTGTCGTGTTTGAAAAAGGCTTGGCCAAAATGTTTTCACCGTTGACCCGGCGAACACATTGCAGAGACCCTGTAAAAAATGATTTTCAAGCTCGGAGCGCACACTTTCATAGGGCAATTTTTTCATTTCTGGCAGTAGCTGCGTGGAATGACCTTCCTCCGACGTTTGGCCAAGCTCCATCTAGAGCCCAGTTCACAGCACTGTTAGACACCTATTTATGCGAATCCTCGCACTGGTAAACGTAATTCCTTGCACTGAGAACTTGAAGGTAGTGCGAAACCATTTCTTCACTTGTGACTATCAAGTGAACGACAGCCGCTGAATGACAGGAAGAAAACCGATAAGGAAAAATTGGGCGCAAGCCTCGATCCTGTGTATCAGTCCGTGAATCCGTAGAAAAGTCCACGAAAAAAGCACAACTCCCGAATCCAGGTCAAAAGCATTTGTGCAACCACTCGTACATAAAGTACATGCCACGATAACACACTGCAAATATTGGCAATTTCTGGATTCGGCATTGGCAACCGTGACTTAGAGAACACTGGGTCACATTGACCGTTGATTCCACCCTTTTGGCCAATCAGAGCTCGCCTTGAGTCCTTGATGACGGACAGTTGAGGACCCCGGCTCCTGGCCAATCGTCCGTGGGACAGACTCGTGGGCGTTGAAGCGCGTACCTGCCGGTGGTAAAGCGGTAGCAGTGCCGAATTCAGCGATCGCGCGACTTGCGGCGTCATCCCCATTCTGATTGGTTGATACCTAGATGGCGGAAACATTCAAAAGTGG